CACAACAACTTCACCCTACAACATTATCATAAACACATTAGAGGAACAGCTTTTTGTTTGGAGGCTACAGAAGTGAGGATTATAGTTACCCATAATAATCTCTTACATTGTGTTCAGGTTTGTCTGCAATGAGAAGCTGCAGCTCGTACACGAGCCCATCTCGTATCACAGAGCAAGAAGGGTCATCTTCCCACTTTAACAGGAAACTGTCGTAGTCAAGAGTCACATTCTGAGGTCCACAACGCAAAACACCTAAAGGAAGTGACCACAGGACATTTTATGGTTAAAGTGGAACACTGAGCAATTCTTGAGATAAAAAAGACAGTTAGGCTGTCAGTGAGCACACAGACTCATACTGATATTTTGTTAATGGCCTCTGGTATCTAGCAGACACAAACAGTGTCATGAACAAGTATAGTATTATAGGCACGTCCATTATGTCTGCCAGATGGGGTGACTAGGACACTAAAACACTGAGGCTTAAAAATGCAGAGTCCAAAATCAGTGGTTAAATCGTGTTGCCTGTATCATTTTTTGGGAGGAGCTGAGAGTAAATATAAAAACAACTTACTAAGCAGACATTTGAAAGCCCTGCTCTATTTTTAGACTTGACTGATGAGGAATAGCAAGGGAACACTTTAGTTTCGGGGAATAACAGGTGATTTTCTGTACCGATTATGTTTTTAAAAAAAAGCAAGATGAAAAAGAAAAGCCACTGTGCAGTCATGTGATGTTGTACAGCTAACTGATGTGTGATTTAAGGGCAAAGATGATGCGCTGCTGGTTTGTAAAGTCTTTTTTCAAACCACTTCATCAAGTCATTGAACATATGTGTCCACACATGGATGTCTGCTATATATTTCTTAATAATACAATAATATTTTTCTCTACAAAGCTGAAACAGAGTTTTTGGGGTTCTGTCAAGAGAATTAACCACACAGGAAGTGATATTATTTGTCAGACATTTGCATTTAAAATGCTCAAAAACTGACAGACAGGAACAAGAAATCCACACAAATTAGTGAAGGTAAAGAAGATAGCTTGCAGACTTGTCTGCACCAGTCTGCCAGTTACAATGACCTTGGTTCTGAAAAATTGCAAACTTTGAACATTTATGTGAAACAAATTTGAATTATCAATCTGATTCAGAATAGGAATTAAGAAAAAAACTATTTATACACACACAAAATGTTTAAAAAGAAATTATGCACATATTCTTTCACATCCACAAAAATGAGTTCTTGGGCCACCTATGACCACACCTCCACCCTCGCATGCTGTAACTTTATCTTGCTGACACGCACTGTATTTGTTTGTTTTATGACCAGTAAGAATCTGCACATAAAAAATATCCTGTATACACAACTACAGCCTTTGCTGAAAATGGAGACTTCTTTACTAAAAATATCAGATACTTTCTGTACCTACAGATTGTCACAGAGGTTAGAGGATGACATACTCACCGTCTTCTTGTCCATCTTGTGTGCTTTCTCTGAAGAGTGAGAGCAATAACAACCACGTGATCATGATAATAATAATCCTGATAATCCTCGTTTAGAGCTGTTTGTTTATTTAGATAGAAAAAACCTTCAAGAATTCAGCCGGGTAGTTGCGGTGATAAACATCAGCTCGTCAGAGTGGTTGAAAAGCAGATTCCTGAGGCTTCTTTCATAGAAACAAAAGCATGTTCACGGGGATGTTTGGGTTTTATTTGAAGAATCCGAGAACAAAGACTCGAACAGGGAAGAGTCACAGTGTTGGTGTCAGGTTACTCCCTGTAGCCTCCCTCCCTTCACATATACAATATGGAAATCCATTTGATTGTGAAATCCATGTGGACCCCACCACAGGAAATGGAGCATTATGTTCTCGTAAATGTGACTCACAGCAGCGAGCTCAGACATGCTCTGATGCTCCAGAAAAACATCGGTCAGGGAGAATCGAGCCTTAGATTCTGAAAAACATGATGATTCCAAACTTGGCATAATGACAGGACCTGCCGGCTCTGATTTTCAGACCAGTTATTGTAAAGCTTTAATTTAAAATTGATTCTTTGCTAAGTTCTCTGTGTAGACACTACACTGGTTCATCCTTCTAGTTAAGTGTTTTTTTTAATGCATGAATGATTCATAGTTCAGTGTTAAGTGGTAAAACATTTCTCTGAAAACAGCCAGGTACGATGACTGGACTGAAAGTGAGAGCAAAAGCAGACAATGTCCAAAGGAAAATGCTAGAAGACCATGAAAAAGTCTGAAGAACTAATGGTTAAGCTCACTTGACCCTTTATACTGGTGCTGCAGTTGTGACATCACTTTTAGGGCACACTGCTTTTTATGAAGTTAATAACTCGGCACTCCAGCATCAAATCCAAATACTTCTCTGAGTTCTTGCACAAAGTAAATAAGCACCAAAAACCACTTAATAATAATAATAATAATAATAATAATAATAATAACAACAACAACAACAACAACAACAACAACAACAACAACAACAACAACAACAACAACAACATGGCAGACAAAAAGTTACTGCTGATGCTTTAAAATGTGGAGTCCAAAATGGTAGCTCTATTGTTTGCATACAGTCAAAATTATGTATGCACATTTTTATGATTAGATAATTAAATGTCTGCACCCTTGCTAACCCTGCAGCCAAAACATTTCATGTATCCATAAATAAGTAGGTGCCTATCAAAGAAAATTCCTGTTATTCCTGTTGAAGCTCAACATGTACAACTATGAGATTTCCATTAGTTTACTCCAATAAGTGAAACAAAGAATAATTTATCTGCATAAAAACGGAAGACCGTCAGCAAAGGAAGCTGAGGCCATGAAGACCAGCATTAACACTACAGTTCTAGGGAAAAATAAATCTCATTAACATGTATGTACATGCACTTTGTCTCTTTTACATTAAATTGCACAGAAATTAGCGACACTAAATCCCTGACCTCCAAACTCATATTAAAAACAATTTTAATCCCATTTGTCAAAATTTTATGGTAGGTAATATGCAGAGGTGGCAAAAGTACAGACTTTCCTTACTTAAGTAGAAATAAACTGTGTTAAAAACACTCCAGTAAAAACTGAATTATTGAAGAAACTTCTTTACTTAAGTAAAAGTGAAAAAGTGCCTACTCTGAAATGTACTCAAAGTAAAAAGTAGCTCCTTAAAGGACAATTCTACTAACCATTTGTGTACAACTGAACCTTATATAGTAATGTAACAGTAAAATGATATTTTAACATATCTAGAATAAAAAAATCTTCTAATCTAAATTCTAATTCAAATCTGGTATGTAGGACACAAGGAAACAAATCATTTAAAAAATACCTCCTTTCTGTTGCCTACATGGTAGAGGGTGACTTTGCCTGCATACCAAAACAGTCAAATGAGAACAGTCAGGGATTACAGTAGGATTCAGCAGGTGCAGGTGCTATGATCTCTGTAGTGGCTCAGCAAAGGGAACATATTGAGAAGTTAATAATTAAGTTAGAATTAAGCAAATTCTCTTCTACACTTGACGTAACCTAAATCTGACCATGAGTACCACAGCCACTGTGCACCAGTCCAACACAGAGCTTTACTGTGAGCTCACCACATTAATGCAAGCTAACCTGTTTATCTTTAAGAAAACTACACAGAATGTTCATGCTACATTTCAATAAAACTGAGCGGAAACTTCACGGTGTGGGTTTCTATGCCTGAGCAGCTCTTGTAGGCCATCACTTTTGTCCTTCAAAATCACTGCCTTAACAGTGTATTAACTTTTTTTTTGGTTTGATTACATACTTACATTGCATGAGAGTTTATTCACAAGAGTGTAACAAAGATCCATAGATTATTTCTCTGTTGTTGGCTAACAGCAGCTAACAGATAAAAACAGCAGTTCTTTCTGACAGAAAAGTTCAGGATATTCTCAACAACTAACCTCAGTATTAATATCATCTGTCAGAAGTGAGTCTCACTGACTCATCAGCCCATCCAGTAAACGGTGGAATGACAGCCTACCCGGTCCAACAAAGAGCTTAAGGGTGGATCAGGTCGGGAGCAATTTTGTGCTGATATTATTCAGATATGTTAAAATATTGTGCATATACAAACAGTACTGGAAATACACCACAGAAACACACACAGTACGAGCCTCCTCAGATTTCAGCATTTCAGACCATTGAAGTTGCTTTTTTTTCCTGTCAGTTTTAGCTGAAGTTTCATGGCCAGGGAGCAGCTGTTTACCTGCACACACATGGGGGCATAGTGGCATGTGGCTAGCACTGATGGATCACAGTGGGTACTCTCGCGTACGCCAGCTTCCTTCTACAGTTCAAAGGGTGGATCAGGTCGGGTTTAGTGGTTATTCTAAATGACCCGCAGGTGTGAATGTGAGTGTTTATGGTTGTCTCTCTTTCTGTCTTAGCCCTTTGACAGACTGGCAACCTGTCCAGTGTGTGTGCCGCCTCCCGCCCTATAGCAACTAGGATAGGCTCATGCCCCCCTATGACTTCGATAAGCAGAATAGGATGTATGGCTGTACACAGATGTTTTCAGATATGTGTTGCTGATCTTTAACTTTAAACATTTATTTTTAGCTGACATTTATTTGCTGCAACATCAAAGTGGTGTGACAGCTTGACTTAGCTGTAGACTTCAGTTACTTTGGGATGGTTTTAAACTTTGTTTTCTGTTAACACTAAAAGTGCCTTTAAAGGGGTATTTTGCTTACAACTTTTTTATTGGTGTGTTTCCAGGATTTTCTAAAAGGTGTTGAACAACAACAATGAAGTGTGGCCAGAGGACACTTAATGGGCATGCCAGCCTTTTATGATCTTGAGGAATAGTAGGGGCTCAAAAAATGAATATTTAGTATGTTCATTAACAATATATCTGGCTCAGTTGTAAGAATGATTAATAAGAAGTTTGTGGACTGAAAGTCATTTAATGATATTTATCTCTAATGGTCATGAATAGAAACCCCAAAACAATTTAAATTTCAGATGACAGTTTCCCTTTAGTGGCCTCAACTGAATGGGCTAAAATAAAACAACCATAACAAATGTATCGTCATGGGGCCGGCCGGGCAGACACAGGGACCATGACATGTGGTACATCACCCAATAAGTGGTAAATGTAATTGTATACGGTACCGGTAAATGACACATTCCAACATTTCCAGAAGGCACATGAAGGGCAACTAATTTTATAGAGATTGTTTTTCTTTGTTAGCCTTTTTATATACCCCCTGACAACAGCTAACAAGCGTTGGGTGCCTTAACTACTCTGCTGTAATTAAAGCAATTTGTGCCTTTAGCTATTGGTGATAAAATAAGTGAAAATAAAAGTGGAAAGAATCAGGACATGCACTAAGAGTAGAGGTACCTCAGAAATATGCTTAATTATATCCTTATATAGTGTTTGATACACATGCATGTTACGACCCAGCTCAAAAGCCGCAACATAAAAAAGGAGACAAATACCATAGTGTTTGTCAGAAGAGGTTTTTTTTTTTTCTTAAAATGGAATACCAGGTTGGCTAAAATGGCTGGTGCCACCAAGGCAAAGACAAGCGAGCTCCCTGGAAGCTTGCCTCAGGTATGCTTTTATCCACACCTGACTAGGTGTGGCCAATTAGCACCAGCTGAACACATTGAGGAGATTAGCGGCTGCAGAGGGATGTAACAATGCAATCATCAACACAGCAGGTCACACAGCCTTCCTGGTGCTGTACTGTTTCTCTCCATATGAACAGACTTTGAAGGAAACCAGACACAATCAAAGCATTAAAAAAACACTTCTTGTTTGAAGCTTCTTGTTTTATTGGTTTACAGCATTGATTCAAAGGTGATTTCTTGGTTCTTACAGACAGAGATCAACAGCAAAGACCTCTCAGCAGCTACATGAAATATTCACATTTTTTAATAAGGTAGGACACACATAATCAATCGGTTGGTACTGAAGTCCTCTCTTCATTGTTCATTATTTATTTGCTTCAATATGATGAGTTGAGTTTCTGTGGTGATGGCACAGAGATTCAGACACGTCATTAAAGTAAAAATGCAAACAGCTGTAACTTGTACAGACTTTGCAGTCAGGTTTGGAGAGATTCAACACAGAAAAATAATTCAAGCTTTAGAGGGGCTTCTCTCAAATGTCTGACTCAGTGGAACGTCTAGATACATTTAAAGAAACTTTTAGAATTTCTTAGAGATCGGTTAGCAATGCCCTAGGAACATCTAGGATAAACTATGTATTCACTGACAAAGGTCACTGAACCTAAATCAAGTGCAGGTTTTTGCAGTCTCTCATAATTTGCATGGAAGATGCTGAGCTGGCTGCAAACACTCACCATTTACTCTCTGAGTAAGTGCAACAGAAACAGAAAATGTTCCCTTATAAAGTAAAACGTTAAATGTGATGATAACATTAGTAAGACAAAGCCTTTACTTAGAAGGTGAAGAATCTCCATTTCCAGTTTGTGGCACACTTTTTTCACAGTTTCATTACAGTTCAGAGAGCCGTTAACAAGTTATTTCTAGACAAGTTCAAACTTCTGGCAACCTGCTAGTAACCAAAGCAGTTATCAGTGCAGCGCTGTATACCCGTTTGTGACCAATTTCTTGTCAACTGACAGTCAGGGAGCACACATTTTTCCACAGCGACCAGTGGTTGTACTCTCTGATATGTCCCTAGTATTGTGGGACAGAGCCCTTAAAAATTAAGTACCTTGAGGGATACAATGTCCCGTCATGAGAGCAGTGTTTCCAGAGTAAATTCAAATAATGCCCATTTGGTGCCACTTGGACACCAACAAGAGAAACCTGTCCTTTTCATGTCTTAAAGAGAGCTTGATGTGAACCAGCCACAGGAATGACTGTACAGTAGTGTCCGAAACGAACAGACCCCAAAGGTTCAACAGCAGCATCTTAGAGCAGTGTTTTTCAAACCCGCCATTCATACTGTATGTGTCACTGATGTGGTGACAAACAAAATAAATTTGCAGGGCACAAAATCTTTGAAAACCACTAATGCTCTGGTCCACTAACATAATTGGCTAACAACAAACAACTAGGATTATAATTCAGGTGTGAGTGTGTGAGCATCTAAACAGAAAAGCTTTAATGCCAAAATGTACTCCTAGGATCTCATTTGAAAGGAAACATCTTCTATTTTCTGAAAATGTCCTGTTTGTGTGAATGAAACTAAACTCACACCTAACTTTAGCTGAGTTGCTGATGACCAGGTGGATGAAGCTAACCAACTATGCCGTAGTTAACGATGCATAAAGTGCCTGAATTAGGCTTAAATGTGTTCACATATGCAGCAGCTAGTTGGATGTCTTCTGTGGTAGCAAAATGTATGTGGACACACAGGATATGGGACTGTTTGGGTACTCCTCTAACTCAGTTGTGGTAAAGGTCTCATCAGGACTCTGAGACTGGTATCCACTAAAGCTTCTGATTAAAGGTATTCCCTCATGGACCTCGGGCCCTGATTTGACTTCATGGTCCACACTTTGCAATACCAGGTTGTATGATGGGTTGTACGACAGATTAGGAAAAACGCCATTGATTGGAGAAGATGGCAAGCCTGGCTGAGATGTGAGGCCTGTAGTGGGTAAAGTGAGACATGGCTGGGATTTCTTCAGAGGCTTATTGTAGTAACCTTTGGGAGTCTGAGAGAAGGTAAAAGGCTTGTAGTCCTGGTCAACAACAGGCTGTGGTGGTCTGAATTGATCATGTAGCTTAGGAATATCCAAGACCTCTCTGTAGTAACTCTGATCAAAATGAAGATGATGACTCGTATGTTCATCCTGAAAAACAGAGAAAATGACATCACATTCACAGGAAAGATATCTTGGTGCTTAGAGATTAGGACAATGGACTATACAAGGAAATCAACAAATAACTGAATAGTAGAATATCCTGATATATAGATGCATCATTAGCTGGCCAATGCTACATGATATAGTACTGGCCATCTCAACTTACTGGTAATGTCAGCCACTGGTCGGTCAGCACTGGCTTTGGGATTGGAGGATAGACTTTGTGTTTGATGCTGTTGGGTCAAAGAATGCATCAAAATATAAACAAAAACAATTATTGGAAGCAAAAGTGGCAAATTTCACAGAAAATAAATGTGCATTGCTTACCATGCCCATTGTCTGGAGCAGATAATTGTGCTGACAGACAGAATAAGGAAAACTGCTCCCAGGGATATCAAGATCAGCATTATCAGTTGATCAGCTGGTGAAAACAATGAACCGCATCGAGTAAATCAAAGAAAATGACAAATGTTGACAGTCTTACTAAAGAAAATAGTCCATATGGGGAAATAATTAACCTACCCGGGGGATTCAAGGTGACATTGATGGATGAATTACCACAAAGTCCAAATGCTGTTGATGCTGTCACCGTGAAGGTGTACATACTGATGTTCAGGTTCTTTGCAGTGAGGCTGGTGGCTTCAGGATCATCTAAATCAACACAGAGTGACCGCCATTATTACAACATAAATACATGTTTACGATCATTGGGCAACACTGGAGACTTACTTCATTTATCTCAGTCACAAGCTAATCTTTGTGTGTGGAGAAACAAAACCAGGACTTTGTTATCAGAAGAGAAACTTAATAGTGTGATTAAGTGTGTCATCGTCTGAGTGACAATCAATTTGTAAATGAACACGTCAGCAACATGTTTCAGTTAACACCTTAATACTACAAAAGATGCAAGAAAAAACTTGATGTACAGCAAATCAGTTGAAGACGTAATTTTTTGACATTTTTTAGTATAAAAGACTTTCAAATGAATCTGATATTTTCTGCCACCAATTTGAAGAGTTATAGCCCTTAATATTTCATCCAATTACAACCATAAAACAGGCATGGTTTGTTTTACGTTTGTGCCACAAGGGGTTGTTATTTCCATTTGTTAGATCTGGCATTATTAACAGTTTCTAAGTCCAAGATAATGGAAAAAAGTGGGATCATGGTCAAATTAACCCAATAAAATCATCATATGCCAGGAGGTAAACACTAACGATGGATTAAAATCAGCTAACAGAGCACCTATGGAAAAGTGCTGATCCTTTGACTTCTAAGAACCTGGCGCATCAATTGATTCATTTCAAAACCATACACAGAACAAACATTACACCCTATAGGAGGTTCCAGATGAAACTACAGGCTACCTATCACTGTCACATCTGCAATGATTCGTCACCAGGCACGTTTTTGCACATGTTTTGGGACTGTCCTGTTGTATCCAATTTTTGGGTCTTTGTGAACTCTGTGTTATCTGAGGTGCTGGACGTTTTTTATATTCCCAATCCTGGTCTTTGTCTCCTTAATGATACCTCTGAAATCTCCTTAAAACAAATACAATGCAAAATGTTGTTCGCTGGATTCACATCCGCAAAGAAGACTATTACAAAGCAATGGTTCAGTCCTGACATTTGTATGGAATCATTCTGGATACGATGTCTTATCCGTGTTATTAATTTTGAACATACCACAGCAAAATTAAATAAAGCTCGACCCACGACTGTTGAAGTTTGGAAAATCTTCTCATCCAAAGTTATCTCCTGGAACAGGCACTAACTCTTTTTGACTGTGTTTTTGTGTTTTTTCTTTGCTGTCCCTATGCCTTGTGACCAATGTTTGCTTTGCTACTGCAGTTTACAGTTGTGCTGTATATGTCTGTACCCCCCCTCCCCCAACCCCGTTTTAAATCAATAAAATGTTGATCACAAAAAAAATAAGTGCTGATCCTATACTTAATGTCCAGACAGAAATCTTAGCTGGCCTGAGTGAGTATGCCTTCATACTGTACCTGTGCTCACGTTGAAAACATTCCCGCTCTTGTCCTGGTAGTAGAGAATATATCCCTGGATGGAAGCAGTCTGCTTTTCCAGAGGTATGGGCTCCCAGGATACCTCAACAGCCGAGTCTTCCTGTTTGTATTTGAGTTTAAACAGCTCGATTCCTATTTCTGGAAAGATGTTACATGCATAAAATACACTGCTGATTGAACCATCGCATTTTGTGAGAAATCACTGAATCAGTCTTACTGGTCTCTCTGATGTAGCCCTCTCTTCTCTGTAGTAGCACCGCAGCTCCCTCAGTGCAGGCGTATATGGACAGCAGGTATCTCCGACCATCTTCAAAGTTCTCTGGAACAACAAAAGGAGCTGTGCTGAAACAGATGCAAATATGATCTGCAACAGTTTTGTAGGCAAAGATGAGGACGTACTTGAAAAAACTGTGGTATGAGTTCTGTTGGGAGACACTTTCATCCACTCGAAGGTGCAATTACCGAAGACTGGACACCAGTCCACTATGTAGCCACAGCTGGCGTTAGGACTATCAGGCCAGGACAGGAAGAAGCTACCATTGCTGCCACTGATCCAGGAGGTCTTCACCTCGGATGTATCTGAAAAATACTCTTTAAAATTAGATTTTACAACATACTCCACTTAAAAAAGGAAGAGGTTAAATCAGTATATATAGTAAAACCTTGAGAATTTTTTATGGGTTTTAAAAGCAGTTTAATGCACTTTTAAGGCATTTAGCTTCCCTTTGCAGGCCAATAAAATGTGCAAAAATGTACATACTCATCATGACTTGGACATATAAACACAACAATTACATATTTGTATACTTATAATAGATGTAATCTCAATCATGTGATCATGAAAACTGCTATTCCATTTCTGCATTAGTTTGGAAAACCCTTTGCTTACAGCCTTCTGCACAGATTAGATAAAATCAAACCTTTTCCCCAAATGGAAATCAAAGTGAGCTTATCTGTAATGTGTGGTGCTCTGTTAGCTTCATACCTAGATTGCAGCGGGGGATGATGATGGTCGATGGTGATGAGCTGCCGTTTATGTTTCTAGCCGTGACAGTGACCATGTACTCCTCACTGGG